ATATATTTGATAAAATACTTTAGACCAAGTGTATGATTCAATAGAGCCATTGTAAAGTTAAATGTAAAGGATGTGTAGGATTGGCCAGGTGAAAATAGCAAGGGAAGGATATACCCATCAAGGCTAAGGCTTTCAGGGCTAGATTTAATGCCTTATGAATTATTACTTTAACATGTTGCTAGTTTGTATCACTTTTCTAGTGACCTGATAAGCTCAGATTTTAATATACCCAGAAGATGAAATAAGGGAATTCAATGAAGAACTAATATAAGAATGTTTCACAGACCCATTAATAGAAGCCTCTGATAATTTTTCTTCTTTGTTCAAAACCACCAAATGGCTCTGTGCTGACTGAAAATAGAGGAAACTCCCCAGCATGGCTTACCAAGCCAACTGCTTCTCTCTCTTTTTTATCTATTGCAATTTTCCTTTCCAACTTGCAGCAATATGGCCTTACTCACAGACAACTGGATAATTTAGAAACTGTTCAGCTCACTCATAACAGAAGACTAATAATTAATGTGTTGACCTGCTAGATAGTTTTGGTGATATGATACCAGGATATGTTCTTGGTCTTTGTCTTTAACTAAGTTATCAAAGAAAATCTGTAGTTAATATGCTCATATAGCAATTGCATAACATATATTGGAAAGGATAATTAAAATATCACATATAATCAGAAATATGAATGTTCTTGACAAGCTAGAGATAGAGTCCCAATTGAATAAGATAAAGAGTAAGTCTTGCCCTTGGATCTTAAAAAATACTCACACATACATAGAATGTGTTGGAAATGAAAAAGAAATTTTAGTTGATAGTAAGATTAAGTTTTCCCATTCTTCCTCCTGTTTTAGTTTCCCTACTTCAGGGTGTAAGGCAGTCACCTGTGTAGGACCTAATGAAGCACCTAAGCGAGTAGGGCACGGAGACCTCCTTCCTTATCTGTCAGTGCTACCTATAAATCCTTGTCCAAGGAGAGAGATCTTGGTTTACTTCCATGATGCTATCAGACAGTGCACCCTGGAATAGACTCATCTGGTGACTAGACTGAGTGAACTGACATCCTAGGGAACCAAGGTGTGTATGTCTCCTTTGATCCCCATGGGTCTAAATTCTATTCCCTCTTATTGAAAAATAATCTGTGAAATAACCTGGCTCTCTAAGTGGGAATTCACACTTTTCACCCTGCAATACATACTTTTTGCCCTGTTATCCTAATAGATGCCCTTTGGATAGTGATACCTAACCTCTGCTCTACCACACCCCTTCCCTATGGATAATCTTTCACCTTTCTTCTTTATATTCTCATTAATTCTATTTCTCTGGACTTGGGTCCACTCTTCTAGCATACATGCACACTTAGTATCATACTATATGCTAGTCTTCTTCTGGGATTAACTGGAAAATGCAATTCATTATTATATAGGCAATAGATAGAATACCACAGGAAGACTGAAAAGACGTGTAAGGTAAGAGAGTATGGCATTTCTAAATCTAAGGGGGCTGTTTTTCAAGAAGCATTCCTAATTCCACCAAGTTCCATGAACTGCAAATTACTTGAAGTAAACATTTCCAGGACCAAAAAGAAAAATGAAGAAATCCACAAGTATAGCTAGGGACTTATTTATCTCTGAGTTCTTTAGACAGAATGAATACACAGAAAATTAGCCAAGTCACAGAAAAATGCAATAAACCAACAGGATGTGATTGGCATTTATGGAATATTTCATATTCCAACAAGAACAGAATACAGTTGTTTTCAAGTGCTCATGAAATAGTCACAGACAGACCATAACATGTGTCATAAGTTAAAGCTTTAAAAAATTAAAAACATACAAAATATTTTCTCAGACCACAAAGGAATTAAGCTAGAAATCAAAAACAGGAAGATAACAAGAAAATTTCCCAACAATAAAAAATTACATAACACATCTCTAAATAATCTATGGGATTCTAGTATTATTGATGTAGGACGGTACTGTATCATACCTCTGTGAATGTAAAATATCTTGTACCTGCTTTATGATACATAGTAGGGACCATGCTTTATCAGAGCTATATTTAATGATATTACTCTAAAATGTTCACTAGTACCTGCTTTATGACATAGTAGGGACCATGCTTTATCAGAGCTATATTTAATGATATTACTCTAAAATGTTCACTTTCCAGATGACGATTAAGATGCTAATAAAAAAATGGCGCCAGGTACCACAACAGCAACAGAACTTTGCTGTTTTCTGGATATTATTCTTTTCTTTGTTTTCTTTTGTTTTTTTTAATGGAATGTGCTGAATGTCTATAATTTTGTTCAGATGACTGCAGAACCTGGAAAAGCTGTTGCTGCTATCGATGCATAACATACTGCTATTATTAGTCTTTTTATATAAATATAAATAAGTCTAGAAATGTTAATTTTTTTAGTTTTATTTTTTTTTCCATGTGTACAGGGGTAACGCATTGTACTAAATATGTAAGGTCATATCTATGTGGGTTTGATTACAGAAACTAATAAAGTATTCTCTAAATAATGAAAAAAAATAAATAATCTATGGGTCAAAGAGCAATTAGAAAATACAATGAAAATATATTGAACTGACTAATGAAAAAAAGACAAAAATCATCAATATCAAGAGGGAGAGTAGAGACCCCTACCAACCTAATAAACATTAAAAAGAAAACAAAGGAATACTATGAATAGCTCTGTGCATACAAATTTGATCCAATTTGTTATTTCTATATTTCATCCTCTACTCTGAACCTTAAATTTTCTTTGCTATTTTCTCTTTCTTTCTTTCTTTCTTTCTTTCTTTCTCTTTCTTTCTTTCTTCCTTTCTTTTCATATTCTCCATGTTTATTTTGGAATTCCAGACAGGAAATATACACATCATTAACCAGAACAGCTAGAAATGACAGCAGTGTTTAAAGGCAAATAATATTTACATATGCAGATATATATAATTATTTATACCATACTTGCACATATAGGATAGACATTACGTAGGATAGCCAGGGAACTCTCTTACTTTTCAGCTGGAGTTAGTGATTTCCTGCCACTGATATTAAGAAGGCTGACAGATGAGGCTCTGAAAATACCACACACCTAAACGGATGGACCCAAGAGCTTCGGAGCTGAGCTGTTCCTCGGTTCATAGTGAGGAACACAGGACAGTTGCAGCATGCACGAAACCCTGTCGAGTCCTCTGCCTGTACCCCATGTTTAACGATTGCAGTTCCTGGCACATGGCCTGAGCACTTTGGGGTGTTGAGCAGTAGCCTATCCCTGCAAAGGGGAGGGAGGCATGCGGCCTCCCTGTGGGACCCACCCCTCACTGCCAGCACAGCAGGCAGGACTCTCTTTGCCTCACCAGGGACATCTTGACCCCAGCCACGCTGACCCCACAGGAGCTTGCTGGGACACATAGACTGATGTCATCACTGAGGCATGGCTGAAGGAGCTGATGCCAGCCATGCCTGTCAGCTCATCAAGGCCAATCCTGTCTGCCCTCAGAAGAATTTCTCGATCAGTGGAGTCACCACCTTCCCCACAGCTTCACCTGCCAATTCGGCGGCTCAAAGATGGCAGAAGACACTACACTTGAGTGCAGGTAGAACTGTTTCTGCTCCAGGTGGAGCTGCTGCTGCAGGGCTTGGCTCTCTGTCACAATGGCAGTCTGGGCCTCCAGGTCCACATTTGGGTACTGACCTGTACCCAAAATTAGGAGAGCCAATCAGAGTGACACAGGGCAGGCTGCTCCCTGCCAGGTACAGCCAAAGGCCTTTGGCATTAAATGTCTAGCACCTCCAGCAGTACTCTTGTAGCTGGATCCATTCCTGCTGCCCCAGGCTGCACATCTCTCTTTAGAACTGCCGCTCAACATGTACATAGGCTACCAGGATGGCACCAGCCATACCCTTGGCACCGAAGAAGCCATTCACCTCTGAGATCTGGTACATTCACCGGCAGGATCTGGTACTCAACCCGCGTGCCCAAGGCCAGGTCCATGTAGGCCTGCGGCAGGTTGAAGTAGCCAGTGGTGAAGTAGACTTTGGCACTTCACTCAGCCTCAGTCAGCAGGGTCTCAGTGACAATCTCATCAATCTGGATCTTAAAGGGTTTCATTTGATCGGCGGATAAATCCAGGTGTCAGGCTCTGGTCTCCAATCACCAGCAGCCATTGCCTCTTCCTGAGTCAACAAGGAGTCACTATGGAAGGTCTGGGCATGCAGCATCTGCTAGCACATCCTGGCTGAGTGGAGCACATCCATGACCTGCTTATTGGCCACCTTGCAGTAAGGAACCTGGTCACCTTTGTAAGGATGCATCATCCCATCCACCACCTGCACAGTGTCATCCCCTTGCAGCTGCAGGGACATGTCCTCCACTGCATCTACCAGCTCTGTAAAGAAGTCAGCAATCTCTGCAGAATCTTGCAAGAACACATAGCAGTCCTGACAATTAGTGAGGTAGGATTCACTCAGGTTTGCACCACTCAAGATAACATCGTTGTCAAAGAAGTACACTTCAATGTGCTGGAGGCCAGTGGTCTCATTGAAACTCACAGGGATAAGGTGCCAGAGAAGTCCAGAGATATGGAGTGTGGAAGTGGGTGACTCGGACCTGCTCTAGAAACCTTTACAGGAGTGGTAGCAGCATTGTGCATGAGTTCTTCCTGCCTTTTGAGCCCCTGGTAAAGTCCAGGAGAATGAAGACCTTGAGGTCAGAAGGAAATTTGGCTTACAATAACTTTTCTAGAGTACTTTCCAGGCAATCCACCAGTTCCTGTTCCAAAGATCCTATGCCCAGATAGATGCCAAAACAAACCCACCTTTTGGCTACTTTTATCTGCCCCTCCTGCACTGGTGGTCCCAGTTCCCACCGCAGTCGGACATCAGGAGCACAGCCCCAGCCAGACTTGGCTGGCCGGGCAAGAGGCCCAGTAGCTGCCTCCAAAACACCACCCACTGCCACCACTGCCTTCTTTGCTATTTTCTAAACATCCATTTCCCTCAACTTGCCATAGTTATTCTCAAATCTATTGCAGCAGCAGTACATCCTTCTTCCTGAACCCTCCCAAAATTCTCATTCCTAGAATACATAGCTCAGCTGCATATTAGGAAAATAAAATCACTATGTACTCAACAGTTATTATGTAGTTTGTTATATCACTGGAGCCAGAAAATTTTTAAGTAAAATTATACAAAAATAACACAGGCCTACAATTTTTTATTTTAAATCCTTGGAAACAAATGAGTTTTGCACTACAGAAAAATTTAAATATAATGCCCCAATAACTATCTGCAGTTATAATATCTAAAAGTTCTAGAAAACAAGATAATTTTATTATTTCTATGACAAATCCTTTTGACTCCAAAATCCTACCTGAAATATAGTGAACAGTCATAATTTATGTAATTTAGTGCAAATACTTATATATAATATGTTTACACTTTGCTGCAGAAATATTCATGTACTTGATTATTATGTGCTATTCCATTCTATTTGGGTTGTTACATAGTTTTTTAATGTGTATTTTCTAAATTGTTTTTCTTAAATATAAAACATTCTGCCATTTGTCAACTGCTGCCTGTCAATGTAACCTCATCTTTTATCTCACATTCAGCCCTTTTAACACACCCATGAAAGTATTTTACCTCAGAACTTATAACATTCAATGCTATTATTTGATGATTTGTCTATTACTTAGTTGAAAACAGAGCCAAGTTCCTCTTTGAGTCTCTATCTTTACCACCCAGCACAGTGCCTGGACCTAACAAACACTCACAAACATGGAGCAAAATAATGGAAAATACAGTAATGGGAAGATAATTGTAGGATTTATAGAGGTCCTGAATTTGAATTTCTACATTTTAATTTATGGAATAGTTTAATATGTTTAGTATAAATGTTAGTGCAATGCACTAAAACTGATTCTTACTCCACTTCTTTGTATCAGTACATGTCTGCAGTACATAATGATTATATTCATCATGGGGAGTTGGTACATGCATTTAATGCATCTTTTTTTCCAGTACCAGAAGTTGAACTCAGGACCTCGCCCTTGCCAGGCAAGTTCAGCACCACTGAGCTAAATTCCCAGCACAATGAATCTTAATTCCTCTTTTGTCCCCTACCTTTCCCATTCCTCCCTGTTCCTTCCAACTCTTGGTCCTCTTCCCATCTGCAAAAGCTCTATTTCTATTTTTTCCCTTCAATTCTTTCTTTGCTCTACTTCCTTAATACAAATCTGTGTTATATGGATATACAAAAAAATGAAAGTAAAAATAGAGCGCAAATGTTACCATGTTTCTTCCAGAAATGGAATTCCAGATGGTTGATGTACACATGCAGGTATTCAACTGCGAATTCCTTCCAGTTCTAATTTCCATCTCTGAAGGCTGACACCACTTCCGGTCTGTTCTGATTGAAAAAGGATAATATTTTCAATAAATGGTGTTGGGAAAACTAGGTGTCCACGTGCATAAGAATGAAATTAGACTTCTGTCTTACATGACATACAATAAGTAATTCAGAGTGGATCAGAGACAAATGTAAGACCTGATACTGCAAAACTACTTGCTATGCCTTAGTTTGTGCTTACAAGGTCCCCCAAAGGCCTTTGTGTTGAAGGCTTGTTCCCCATCCTGTGGCACTACTGGGAGGCAGGGAAATCCTTAGGTCATCGAGGACATGCACTTGAGGAAGATACGGAGACTCCAGTCTCCTCTTTCTTGTTTTTACTTTCAGGTCATGAGGTGAACGATTTTGCCCTGCCACACACTACCACAATGGTATGCTGCCACAGGCTTAAATGAACAGGCCAATTGATCTTCAACTAAAATTCTTTAAAACTTGTGAACCAAAATAAATCTTTTCTTTTTAAATTGACTATTTTAATTATTTGTTACAGTAACAGAAAGCTAACATACTGAGGTAAAAATTAGGGAAGAAAAACTACACATTAGTTGGGACGATGGGCTATTGGATTTGACTCTAAAACCTCAGGCAACAGCAGCACAAAAACATAACTGGGATTACATCAAACAAAAAAGCTTCAGTATAGAAAAGGAAACAATTAACAGAGTACAATAACAGCCTATGACAGTGAACCTATGGCATGCAAGCCGCAGCAGGCTGTTTGTACCACTGAAAGCTCTAAAAGGTTCCTCCATCACTGGCCTATGGATTGGGAGAAAAAATTGCAAGATATGCATCTAGACTATCATTTTTTTTGGTACCGGGAATTGAACTCGGGTACTTGCACTTGCAAGGCAGGCCACTGAACCACTGAGCTAAATCCCCATGCAAAATATGCATCTAAAAAGCAATTCATATCCATTATATATATATAT